TCTGGTGGGAATCTGCCTGGCATTGTGCCTCCTCCTATTTTGCATCTTCTTTGCCTCTAGTTTGAGAACTCTGATCTTAAGAACAATTTTTCTTATGTATTTATATTTACATATTCGGGTTTAAATTTAAATTTAAATTAATTGGTCTCCTGAGGCTTGCATCTTCCTCGAGGACTTTGGTGAATCATTTCAGACTTTTGCCTTGCTAGTATCTTCTTTATTTCTCCCTTCTCTTCTTGTTTTCTAAGTTCTCCTCCCTCATCTTCATGATATGTGAGATAATGTTGAGAATTTTGGAGGGTGGAGGAGGAAAGGAATAACCCCTTTTTATTCTCTCATTTCTCTGTTTTACCTCTATTACTCTTATTTTAACACTAAGAGGAACCATTATGATATTGTCATATTTTTTCATTGGCACAGATTCTGAGTTCTGAACAGCATGTGTATTTACCAGCAAATTACTTATTAGCATATGAATGGCTACAACCCTTGTTTAAACTGTTAGGTGTTCTAAACACACATGGAGGGTTTATTTGGGAAGTGAAGGTTTTGATTTAGCAGGCATTCAACAAAGAGGCAAAATGTACTGGCAAAGTGGAAAGGACCTTCTTGAATTAAATGGAAATGTTTACAAAAAGTGTAAAACAAGAGCTTAAAGAAAAAAAGGGAGAACCCTACCATAAGATAAGTTTTTTCATTACTTTGTCTTGAAAACCAATCTCAACAAGTTAAACCAGGAAGTCTCAGGGAACCCTGCCTGTGACTGTTCTGGACTCATCAAAAATATATTGTTAAATGAATCCCCTACTTAATCAGGTGTTAATTGGTCCTTGTAGTTGACAGTGTGATGGATTGACCTTGGCTGTCTGCTAGAACCCCCACTCAGAAACTCTTTCAATCCCCCTCCTCAAAAGGACAGCAAAGAAAATGAGACAGAAAAGTTTGTGGGTTGAGATGAAGACAGTTTACTGAGAAAAGCAAAAACTGTGTGTAGAAACAAAGCAAAAAGGTATTTATTCACCACTTCTAATCAGGAGGCACATGTCCAGCTTGTAGAGAAGTCCTCAGTATGCATAGCAGTTGCTTGGGAAGACAAATGCCATAAACACAAATGCATCCTCCCCTTCCACTCAGCTTTTATTTTTGAGCACAATGTCATATGCTATGGAACATCCCATCAGTCAGTTTGGGTCAGCTGTCCCAGTTAGGTCCCCTCCCAACCTCTTACCCACCACCAGTGTATTGGCCTTGGTGGGCATAGTTAGAGAGAGGGGCTTGATGCTATGAAAGATCTGCTCAGTAATAACCAAAACATTGGTGTTTTGACACTTTTTTAGCCATAAATGTGAAGCATAACATCACAACAGCTGGAGTGAAGAAAGATAATACCATCCTAGGTGGACCCTGTACAAGTCTATCACCAAATAATGACAAAGTTTTAAAAATTTGTAGTAAATGATCAAATATTGTTAAGAAGTACAGGCAACTGAAAGATGCTTGGGGATAAAAATAGTAATAATTTTAAGGAAATAAATATGATCCTATATTTATGAGACATGCAAGTGCTTTCAAGTATTTCCCTGACATCCTTCCTGACATAAGTAATCTTCTTATAGACATTGGCTTGCCTACTGCAGTGCCTGGCCAGAAAGCCTTCACATACAAAGAAGGATGATAAACAGAAATTCTATAGAAGAGGAAAATTCTCTGGGATTAATTACCTGATTGGCTTCAGTACTTGGTGTGGACCAGGAAAGCTCTTTCAGACTGAAGCTCAGTTCTGTTGTCTTTGCCCCAGCAGAGACTAGAATTATTTGAATCAGAAGTTAACATTTGTTAACTTATGTCCATATTCTAAAATTAAGATAAAATCAGTTGGCTTCTCGAATTATTTCTTGGATCCAATGGTTTTTCTCTTTTTGAAGGTAGAATTACCATTTCATGAAAGTGATATTCAATTAAAATTCATATGCTGAATAAATGCATTCCTTGAAATTTAAGTACTAGCAAGTGTAGTACAACTAAAGACCTGAGATAATTAAATGGTAATGATAACAAAAAAGCATATTGGTAATTTAGATCTATTTAACTTTTAAACCTGTGAAAAATAAACAATTTTTTCATCAATTTGGTGTGAGCAGGTGGAGGGTGAATGCACTATTAGGCAAATGTATAACTTTATCCAAAAAGTCTTATATCTTTAAAAAGATAATGTTTATATGTTGACCTTTCCAGAAAAAAAACACTGGGAGATATTGTAGACGATGAAGTTTATTGTGAATGCTGTAATATGGAGACACAATCATAAGCTTTCCTATAAAAGTACTCATTTGGGATGATAAGTCTGACCAGCCATAAAAATCACCAAGCCCCAGCTCCACCTTCTGTGTCTGATACTGCACAATTGTGCTGTCAATCATTATACTCAACACTGGGATTTGAAGTTTTCAACGTGACTGGAAGTGCTTATATGATTAAATTAAGCTCATGAAAATACTGCCAACTAGAAATCTTCATTGACAAAAGGAGGAAATGTCTAATACAGATGCACTTAACCCAGTTTAACCCTCATTTAGCTTGTGAGAATAAATCTTTGGGTTTTATCACTGTAAAGAATAAATGTGTGTGTGTCATTGTTTTGAATAGGTTGGATAACAAAACCATTTAAACCAGTCCAGCACTCCAAACATTGACCATGCTTTAATCACACTCACAAGCACTGGCAGGCAAGGGCCTTAAATTCTAAGAGCATGTCCCAGTGGAAGCGTTAAAGACCTTGCTAGTAGAAATGGGCTATCTAATATCACATTGAATATAAATCTGCTTGGAAAAATCATGATTATCCTGGAAGTCTAACAAATTGAGGCACTTGGTTTTTAGTTCAGAGAAAGCTTTCAAGTTCTGCAAATGTTATCGGCCCACGTTAATGAGCCATGACATTCATTCCACCTCATGCCACACTTCTAGATTTATGCTAAATTTGATTATTATAATTTTTTGGTTTAACAAATTGTTTTAGAGTTCCTATGGTTGAGGCTGTATGAATTAAAATACAAGCTTTGGTGGTTATTGTAATGAGAAAAGCATGTTTGATCAAAAGTAAAGAAATTAAAAAAATAGTTAATCTGTCACAGTCCTTCAGTTTTATATTGCCATTATCAGATCTAGAAAAATTACAATGAACCATACTTAGTATGTAATTTGAATTTGGCCAGTGTCTAGTGTGATGGATTACTTCGAATAAATGATTTGAGTGAATCTTATCTGCCAAGAAGACATTTACAAAGGCCTTATGTCCATATAAATGTTCATCTCAGAACTTATAGTTTCTCTTTCGTACAAATAAATAAATCATTGTTTGGGAGCAGAAGAAAGAAATTTTTCATCCAAACCATTAACTTTTTTCTATTAGACTAGTCACTAGAGTTCTGAAAGTAATCTTCTGTATGTTAGATGAAAATGGACTTCTAGGGAAGAAATTTTTTTCTTTGATGTAATAAAAGAGGATTCTGTGTTTATTAGTTGTTATTCAGGGGTTTAAAACAATGAATCTTCTGAAAAAATCCAGGAAATATTGTTTTGGTTGAAAAACTACCAAATTTCTATTATTTGGCTGATCATTATGAGCTTCAGGCTATGTATGTTACACCGGATTGATACCACCAGTTACATTCATTAGTATTATCAATGTCTGTGTATTCTTGGTAACTCCTAATGCTTTGATGTCTTCTGGATAAGGTCTAAAATCACAATTTATTTGGTACTGCCTTTAAATGCTTTAAGAATTCAAATTATTCATGCAAAGTGGAAGTACTTGATATAACTGATAAACTTTAGACATCAAAATCTATAGTTGGTCAGCTGAGACTCTCTATATAGAGTTACTTAGCAGAGGTACATTTCATCACATCTTAAAATAGATGTCGAAAAAAAGTCAAGTGTGTCACACCCTGGAAGTCCTTATTTCTATCTATTGACATTTACAAACTCAGCTTTTGATGTCTGCTGCAGAAATCCAAGCACAACTGTTTATACTTTCATTGTCAGATGTGATTAAGAACTTGCAAATAACACCGAAGTGACTGAAGAAACATTCCTGAGGCCTCCAATCCAAATTTGCCCAGCTGAAGAAAGAGTGTGTTGGTCAGAGAGGGAAAAGCAACTAATTGTTACAGTGGAGAACTCAATAGGATGAAAGCAGATAAAATCACAAGCAAAAGGCCAAGTGATTCTTTCTGTGTATTTCTGAGTTGCTGATAATTGACAGGTCTTGGATTCAAACCAAAAGTTTTGCTACGTCTGATATAAAGATAACCTCAATAGCTTGGAGGGAGTGTCAAGAGTGTATCTTATCTCACTTCATGAAAATGTGTATTTTTAAGTGATTAGTTCATTTCTGTAGAGTAGGAAAGAAAGGTGTAGAAAAATGACTGATTTCCAAATGTGATAAGAAAATAAGGCAGTGTTTAGTTTAGAAGATGTGTCTGAGTGCAAATTTTAATTTATATGCCCCAAAGCCTTAGAAAATCTGGGGAGGGGGGAAAGAAACCTTAACAAAAATAGAAAAACTGTAATTCTGAGGTATAATTTACCTCCATTAAGAAGGCAATACACATCATGCCTTGTTTTGAGCAAGGCCTCTGGATGTACAGAGAATAGATCCAGTAGGAATTAAACCATTACCTCTGGAACACTGTATATTTTCAGATCTGTAACCCAGGGTAAGGAAAAAATTACATTTATTCAACTGCATGAGAAAGAAAGAAGGAAAAAGACAAAAATAGAAATACATGTTGTTTATCCAATATTCAAAATAATAGCATCAGTACATAGGATACAAGATTGAATTATCGTAGTTTAACTCATTACTGTCTGTCACCTAACTCAAACTGTTTTCTAGAAAATAATGGATATTATTACCCCACCACCAGTCGTGAGGCATAAATGACTTGTTTGCACTGCTTCATGTTTGAAACAGGATGAGCTCAAATAAGAAGACGCACATGAATATGCAATAATTTATCCTACGTACTCAAGTCATTGAACTATTGGATCTACATACAATCAGAATCACTTAAGAGTATGGGCCATTTCTTTTATGTCTGTGGAAAAAAGAATCTTTATTTCCCCCAGCAATGAGTTTATAAAGTTGACTACACCAACTTTCCCATTCCAAATCAACGTGATTTTTGAAGATGACAGCAAAGGAAACTTGCATTGAGAAAAGGCAGACAGTCCAGTTTCTGAGAAGCTATATTTTATTGCAAAAACAATTTTAGTCCAATGAGATCAAAATCACACACTTCCAAAGTATCGTGTGGATCAGAAATTCTGCAATGTTCATTTCTGGGGTTTATTGGTTTATTTTTTCCTCCCTATTCACAAAACCTGATGTAAAGGGAAACAGGTCTTGAAGTTTCATTAAAACTAACTCTGGTGCAATTGGCCAAAACTGAGTAAGTATTTCATTGAACAGTTGCACCTCTCTTCAAGGAAGACCATCCCTGAAGACAACGAAACCATGAAAAATCACACAAGACTGATTAAATGCAGACTCTGTTCCAGAAAACTGAGGTTTGGGACCACTGAACTCCTCTCTGTAATTCTAAGTGTTTAGCCCAGCTAAAGGTCTGAGACTTCAACAAATCAGGGATTACAGTCTACCAGATGAGTCCCTCTTCCAAGGGAGAGCACGGAAGCTGCAGCTTGACCGTGTTTTACGGGGAGGGAGAAGCCACTTAACCCTCTGTTGGTGTTAGCAAAATGACCATTGAACTGGGAATGTTTCAAAATAATCTGAGTTCAATAAACCACTCCTGAATTAATGCTGTTAATTGATTTTCCAACAAGTTCTGAAGAAAAACATGAAATATTTCAGCTTCTGGGTCCTTCAAATTATGATAACTGAAAGGAAAATACATTTATAAATTTCTTTCCAATGTAAATTAATCAGGTTAGTGTACACACAAGGGTCTACTTAGAAAGAGAAATGAGAAGGACTTTTGATTGTTCAACAGCCAACAGACTTATCTGCTCCCAGTAGAGTCTTTTTGGTGTTGAAATACCACTCTAGTGTCTAAATGGAAAGCAAAAAATGATCTGTTTCAAGAAAATTCTGGTGTTGGCGTTGGGTACTCATGAAAGGTGGGACTTTTTAAGGAAACATGCAAGCTTCCTATGTGCAATTACCACATGCTATGTTTATTCCTTTAAATCTAGTACAGTTAAACATGAGCATGCTTGGCAACCTGTAGAAGGATCTACAATAAAAGATGCAATCTGTTCCAGTCACAGTAACCTGCAGCAAATATTTCATAATTCAGAACTGTGGAGGCGTTGAATCCGTACCTGAACCATTCACATTCTGAAAACACATAAACAACCTCAGTGTCAAGGAATCTCTTCCCACAAAGTTTGATTATGAAATTAAAATTCCTACCTGAGTCTTCAGGGTTGGAATGTTAACAGCTGAATTAGAACAAAGCACACACTAGAAAGAGTTCATTCTTTCAGACTGACTTGCCAGAAGTAGTTTCACTTGGTATTCTTTCCATAGAGCTTGATGTATGAAATAAATGTATTAAATTAATGCAGCAAATGAAACTTGATTCTTTGTGTTTCAAACACAGATGTGTATACAAATAATTGATTCCAATAAATGCATGGCTTATTTTCCATGATGCAATTACATTTTACATAGTTATCAGCTGCTAATGATGTTTTAAAAAACTGCATTTTTAAAAGTCAGGCTACATGGAATATATCTGGCAGCCTCAGAGAAATCCTGTCACACTGAACAAGTTATTTTTCTGGGAGTTATCTGATAAGTGGCCTGTATCCCTGCAGAGCTCTAATGTAAATCTTTAAAAAAATATAAGAAAGCCTCAGTATGATCACAATATGGTCCTGGATGTTTTGTAAAGCCAACAATGCGTCCAGCCAACTTAATATTCCAGCCCTGGGAGGGTATTCCTCCCTGTGTTTTGGGAGCTCTACAAGTTGTTTCTGAAATTCCAATATAATCACTAGTTTTATACCAGAAATCCCATGGAAGAGGCTTGATTGGAATGTATGCATTTTAGAAAACTGTATGATTTTTTAAAGACTTCTTTTTGCAGCTCAGTTTAGTGGAATTGCTTCCAACCTCAGCCTCACAAGTACACAAATACTTTCCTTTCCAACATGTCAAAATATGGTCACTTGTTCAGCTCCAGAAAGACCATATTTATATTCCTTTCTGTGCTGCTTCTCATGCCACATCCACAGGGCTATCCCTTTAACTTTCAACCCATTCCCTGGACTGCTTACAAATAAGCAAGCTAACACCAATCTTAGAACTGTGACCACTATTAGTCATCCCCAGGTAGACCAATTTTACCCCATTTCCCTAAAAGCCCTGGGCTGCCCATGTATATCTATTTCACCTGCACATTTACTTCTCAGCCTTGGGTTCAAGATCCAGTGTGCCTCCTCTCTTCACACAACATAACTACTGTGGCATTTTCAAAAAGTAGATTTGGCATGGCATTTAGATCAAGATTAATATACTTACATGAAAGACACTTTCATGTGAGGTATTTAATATTCTTTCTCATTTAGTGACAACATAGCCAACACCATTAATAGAATTTACAAAGCCGTACAATTCACCTTTAAAGAGGCACAATAAATTCATCTCACTGTCTTAGGCATCTAAAGCCATTCGGGATGCTTTAGAATATTCAAGACACAGAGACAGAGCTAGAAGATTCAACACACTGACGGTGTTCTACTGAAGTAGCACTTTAGGTTATTTCAAATTACACTAAAGATCTAAATTACACCCTTTGTCTGAATTCCACATTTTGCATGTAGAGGTAATCCAGATTATGTAAATTTATTCTGTAATTAAGAAAGAGAGCCAAAATATCTCTGGTAAAAAATTTAGGAAGTTTGTATGAGTGCTGAGCTACCTGGAGCCCATTAAATATTATCTTTATTCAGATACATATCCAAATTTCTTCTTTTCTATAGATACCTTCTTGGGGTTATTCATCTGTTCATTTGGAGGTCCACAGTTTGACAAATTCTAAATTTCCAAAACCATGCAATTCCTGTGATTAGTACCTGATGCCAAGGCTCAGGAAAAGACAAGGCATGTGCCTACACTTCTCAGAATTATTTCCCTCTGAAACAGTCTGTGGTGGAGACCCATAGACTAAACCCTGGATCTGTATTTTTGACAGTTCTCTATTCCCTGTACTTTTATCTAATGCACCCAATGCTCACATCACACAAACTACGCAGAACTGGGACCTCTGAGCTGCTGAAAATGAGTCATTAATATGTTAGAGCAGATATTTCTGTGGATGTTCTTGCTGTCCCTCTGAATATCCTCCTAGTTAAACCCCTTGACCCCATGTGTACATAAAAGGTACCAGCTGGGCAAGTTGCCTGTATCTTTTCTTCCAGAAGAGAACACTTTCTGAAAGACTGCTAAAGAAGACTTATTCTGATCCAGCTGGTGGTTAAACTGGTTCTGATCTAGTAATTGCTCTTTTAAAACACACTTTCTACAGTACTTTAGCCTAAATTTAGCATAGTGAATGTTTTTGTTCAAAGGCCATGCTAGTCAACAATTTCCAGTGCTGGAAAATATTATAAAAATTACTGGGAACAGCAGGCTGTCTGTTTTTTCCAATAGCATTAGAAATTACCAGCTCTGAAATGAGACCCAGGCTCCCGGTTTGCCTGGAAAAGAAAAAGAACCACCTATTTCTCCAATACAGATCTTGAATTAATTCTGGCTTCTGGTTGGAAACATAATTCCTTTTCCTTTCATTTTTATGCTCTTGAAAGTGGTTATTTTTTTTTTTATTAAAACTGGGAGGTGACATGAGAGGATAATGCCAACTTTATGCTGCTTGTTTCTTGAGAACAAGAAAACTGGTTCCCCAGTGAAGACCTCATGGAAAAGTTCTGTAACTCTGAGAGGGAAGAGGGAGTGAAGGAGAGAGGGAAAAGGGAGAAAAGTAGAAAAGTAAAAAGAGGAGCTGAAAACAAAAAACTATAAAGTGGATACTGTAAAATTGAGTGGTTGTTTCTAGGATTTACTCCTTGCTGAGCTGGTGTTCTTTCTGCACACTAGGAAAGGAGCAAGTTTGGGAAGGCAAATAGAGGCAGAAAAAGGCTGTGGCCTAACTTATCACAGTAGGTTGCTGGGTTGCTGTAGGGAGTCAATTTTACAGTGGAGGTGAGACAAGTCTGGAGACAGGCTTAAGCATGGAATAAGGTGAATTTCAGAAGTCCCAGGTTTTCAAAGAAAAATGAGAGGTAATAGATTGTGTAAAGTGTTGAAGAATGTCTGAATTTGAGAATTTGGCTATGCTTTTATGGCACATACATATACAACTGTTTTGTCTTCACTAAGTGATGCTAATTGAAGTGCCTTGCTGTAAGTTGATTGTTGGATGCTGGCAGCTGATAATCAATATTTTTCAGAAGTTAAGGTGACAATATTTGAGTGAAAGCTTATCAGATTCACCTTTGTGCAAATATCCATAGTTAGCTACCTCAGAGGCTTTAAGTAAATTTTAATGTTTTCATAATTGCAGAAAAACACATTACTGAATAGGAAACTTTGAGGTAATCTGAAAAAGCTTCTTAAAAACCCCCAAACTCAGAGCAAACAAACAAACAAAAAGGAACAAAAGTCCTGTATGAGAATTGTTTCATTTTACTTTATTTAAGCCTTGAATAGTTTAGAGAAGAATATTTTATTTAAGAAACATGTTTTAAGAATAAATCTCTGTTCAAGTCAGCACTGGAGTAGTTGCTTAATTTCCATTGGCACCTCTGGGACCTAAGCACATGATTCATATTAGACAGATGCTTAAGTGCCTCCCTGAATAGGACTGTGACACAGTGACCCAGACCCAAAAGTGTATTAATGTGTTATTTGCAGCCTCTATAATATGCCAGTAAACCAGAAATAAAATGGCTGCTTGTGCCAAAAACATCTCATGATATGTAGCTTGCAGAATGGTACATTGTAGGTTTACTACTGTAACTCATTTTTATCACTGCAATTCAGCTGATTTCCTGAGAGAAAAGGTAAACAGGATAGAAGAATCAGTACTCTGTGATTCCTCTGTACCTAAAGAGATTTAGTCTCAAATAAGCTTAGGAGCATTCCTTTTGCATTCTGAGAGACAGCAAGCAACTAGAAGAAAGGCCATGCTATTCCCAGGGCTCTCAAACAGTAGGGAAATAAAAGGATTCCTAAGACATAGATTGAAACTTTCTCAGCATTCAGCAGAAAATCCTCAAATGTAAGTGAAAGACAGAGATACTCTGGAAGAATAAATTCATTCAGCAGCTCCTCAGCACACCAGTTGAGAAATACCCTCCCATGTGACAACTGGGATAAAATATATTTTGTTTCCTTATTTTTATCAACTTACATTGGAGGAGTTTCCAATTTTATAATTAAGTACCTTACTCTTTTGCTTAGCTGAAATATCATTTTTCTTCCTATTAGCTCCAGAATTCAAACTGATTAGATAAATCTGGAGGAGTACATAACACATGTTCAAGCACAAGACCCAAATAAATCAGTGGTGCAAGTTCATTAGAGGGACTATAGTTTGAGAAGACTTAGGGGATTGAAAGAGATGATGTGCTCCTTGCTAAATTCCAGGGCTTGGTTAAAGGTCTAGAGGGAACAGAAATTGTTCCTAGATGGTAGTAGGCAATTTATGACTTAGAACTACACTGTCTCAGGAAAATAAATCTTGAACTTCTCTTTGCATTGGAA